TTTATATATTACATATGTATTACATATGTATTACATTTTATACATATGTGCATATATAGTATAAAAAAATAAATTATTACTTACTAGTAGCCAACTTGCAACATTTCTCCATTTGTCGTGTGAGCTCTTCTTGCGTCTCGGGATTGGATTCAGCTAATTTAGCAGCGAGCGTATGCTTAGCCTGTGATATACCTTGTATAAGACGTCCTAAAAAGAATTCATTTTTTTAATACATTTGAAATACATTTGACATACATTTAATACATTTGTTATATTTTAATGAGACAATTTCTCTATCTCTCTCGACGTTTACTCAACTGTGTTCTGCTTCGAGTCCATGCAGTTTTATCTTGTTAGCTTCGTGTTGAGCTTTTTTCTTTAAACGACATGCGCGTGAAGCTAGTTTATTTTTTTCTTTACGTGTTTTCGGTCTTGCTGGAAAAGGTAATTCTGAAACAGGTGTCATATCATTTATAATGCGATTTAATTTATCTAATTCTCGTCCAATATTATGAAGCTTGCGAGGATTGGGTGTAAGATCGTTTCCATCGCCTTTTCGTGCTTTTCCACTATGTTTAATTCCTCTGAGGGCACAATGAGGACTAAATACTGGATCAGTCGCTTCATTTAAGACATGTGGGTCCTCCAAACGCGCTCGAGCGATCAATCGTTGTCCTTTTGGTCCCTTCGCTTGAACGTTGTATTGCCAGAAGAATCTTTCTTTCTTACTATGCCTATTTTCTTTTAATTCTGTGGTTCCTGTTCCTACTCTGTTATTGCTCTGATCCTCTCCATCACTTCCACTATCTAGAAATAGATACATAGATAATGTAGCTGCATTTTAATTCCTTTTAATTTAGAAAACATTTAATAAAATGTAAGATAAGTTGATGAATTTGTTTTTGTTCTGCAAAAAGTCATCATATAATAATCTAAAAACAATATATGATAAACAATATAAATATACCATTATCACTGCTGTAGTCATCATAATGGTCACTATCATCATCACTATCTTCATAACCTTCATCATGGCTCAAAGGATCGATACAGAGTGGATCAGGACTTAGCGCACCTCCAGTGCTCAGACTACTGGTCGATCCTGCCTCTACTAAGCTACCGGTACTCAAAAGATGTTGTCGTGGTTCCCTGTGGGCCCAGATTTGATCCAAATGTCCCATTGTCTGCGTTGGAGCAGACATAGAAAGTCTCGATACTTTAGGTTTACTGCCTATTGTAGAGACATTATCCGCCTGATTGGATACTGGATTATTAAATGGATTATCACCTCTTTTCATAAGTAGCTCGTGTAAAGTGGATGTACCAATGGGCCGAGCCACGGGATGTGGCGAAGTCGATGAGCTTGCTGTTGAACTACCTGAATTAATTGTAATGTTTTTATTATAAACAATAAATAAGCATATCTATATTATTTAATACTATTTAATTATTTATGCTATTAAATATTAAAGAGATACTGTTGCTTAATGATATTATTGTTGAAAAATAAGGTAAATTTATTAGATATACCTGCAATATTACTAGTGCCAGGACTAGGAAACGCAGTAGGACTAACAGCTTCTGCATTATCCACAACATTCGATCCTCTATTTACATTAAAACCACATATATTGGTATATGTAGGGCAACTACGATGTGTAACTCCAGATTGAGGAAAACTACTAGGTGCAAATCCTATGCTATTACTAAACAGAGAGCCAGTCAATGGAGCAGAGAATTCCCCTTTTGTCGGCACCCTTTCCTCAGGCAGCAATAGATCGTCAAAGTTTAGATCTCCCAATAGAGTATCATCATTGGCATTTAATTCAGCCAGAGTTGGTCCCTGGATGAGTTCAGCCTTATCTACCTGGAATATATCATCTTCGTCCATTTTAAATGAGATATCCATCTGATCCGGATCCATTTTAAAGGGATAATCCATATTATCAGCTCTTATATCCCAACCAGAGGAGATTGCTAGAGGGGATGGCGAGAACTGATCGTATGCTCCTCGCGTGATGCCTCTGTGTCCCCCTGGTATCGGCACAGATGCCGAAGCTGAATTCATTTCCTGAACGGGTTCTTGTTTTACTATGCTATCCATCGTGCTGGCTAAGGAGAAGTCGTTGAACTTGAAGTCGTCCATCAGCCACGAGCGCGTCCGTGCGCGCTATGATTACACGTTTGGAGATTGCTCCTCTATGATGCACAAAAGTTCGCTAGATAAATCGATATTGTCCCAAACTCGATCTCCGATTTCTCTTCGAGCGATGAATGTATCCGGAAAGGATACCGAGATGGATCGCGCTTATTCTATTCCCGTGACAGCACGATTACGAGTGGACAACGTCCACGAGGTGATAACAAGAGGAGGAGAGAGAGAAAGAGACAGAGAGGAAACGCGCGCGCGGCTTATCGTCTCGTTTGCGAGCTGCCTCGAGTCGCCGCTCGATTTTGACTCGTCCTCACCTCGTGTCGCACGATCGATTCACGGACGCCTCGCGTACACACGACCACGAGGGAACGTAAGCTATTCTAGCTCGCCTGGTAAACCTGGAACGCTGAAAACTGACTCACTCAACTCGGGGAGAACGGCAGTGTACACACGTCGGATATTACATATTGGTCCACGCGTGCACACAGCACGCACGCAACGCGCGTCTCTCGTTAGCAGGCATTTTCCGCGGTTGACAGCATCACGCGGCAAGACCAGGCTGAATTTCACTCTTCTTCCCCACCGAGTCGTCGAATAGACTCGATTCGATTCAACTCGAATCGACTCGAAACGACACGGCAGGGCTCTCACACCGCGAGCCTCCGCACGACAAGAATCCGCAATCGTAACCGAGCGCGCTTACGATCGCCCGAGCAGCCACAGAAGGACGTCGCGTTGTACGCGAGCACACGACTCAGGGGAAACGCGCGAGAAATCGGACGAGAAATCGGTCGGAGTGACGACGTATGTTGTTTGTTATTGTTTGCCACGAGACTGTGGGGCCCGAGTGATCGGTGATGTTTGCATAAATAGAGGATCGGGTCACATGACACGTCTCGCGAACGAACGTCGGCCAGTCCGCGGCGCTGACCAATCGCCGCATGCCCTCCATCCCCTCCACTTATGCGCTTGCGCGCACTTTCCTGCAGTCCCCCGTTCCGACCGCAACTTGGTGTGAATTTTCATTCCAATGTCACTTGTTTTGCGCGCGGAAAAGAGAACGGTGACGTTGAATCTCAAGGACTTTGATTGTCAAGTTTTCGTCTGATTCCTCCATTTCACGCATGATTCGTGACGAGATACTTGTTTTTCTCTTTCTTCATGTTCATCGTGACATATGAGTGAAACTTGAAATTTTATCGATTTACGTTTAAATGTTGCTATGTCTCTATTTTCTTGCACGGACACATCTCTTTTGCATCGATTTTCCTAGTAATATTTTTGCGTGTTGATTTGGTACAATTTTAACAAAGTGTGTAAAGGGAGGGATCTCGCAACGTGATTGGTAGACATAATTCGACAATCCCATTCAGTCTCGCATTCTTTCGAGTGCTTTGTAGTACGATCGCGAAAACATGTGGATCAAATGAGTAGCGGTGAATAGTGAAACCATCAGAGTAAGTCATAAGTCATTTTATGGATGTTTAACAATAAGCTAATAGTGATTTCGATCGTCAAATTTAATATCGAGAAAAGGACAATAACGAAAAGGAAGAGAAACATTCAATTGATGTAATATTGATGTAATATCAAAATCGCGTATTCATTAGTTAACTCGATTGTACCTCCCTTCCTCTCCTTTTTTTCTGCTATTAAAAAGTGACGGAATATAGTAAATATGTTTAGTATAATTAATTTAATAGAGAGCATTCTTCATATGATGAACGGTAAAAATCTCCTTCAATCTCGATAAAATAATATTGAGGTCGCCATGTTTAATAACCTTAAGCGCGGGAAATGTTGGACTCGTGAGGTTTGTTCTTGATAGCTGAATTAACGTATACTCGTATTTGAAATGGAAGCCTTTTCGTTTTGGTTGAATTTGCATTATTTATCTTTAAATATATGATTTGGTTTTTTTTTATTTTTTTTAATAATTAATACACAAAATATCTCATTCTGAATCTTATTAATAAAAATGCTTTTAAAGATAACTTATAAGCTTTCTGATTGGCTATGAGCCATTTTTAGACTTATTAATGAAAGAGGATTCAGAATGTGAATCTTGGAGGTTAACGTATTTTGAAACGAAGTGAAAATTACAAGTGTAGAAATTCATTGGAATATCTCCTTATGTCGAAAGTAAATTTGTAATGGATAATTTTCATTTCGTTTCAAGATATACAACTGATCCCCTGAAATTTAGCGAAAACAAGTAGGAAAATTTAGTCCAGGGATGCGTTCAGAAATAACATCCGAGTGCACCCAAGTATCGTTTAATATTAGATGAAAAATAGATAAAATGATACATCCAGGCTGCGTTCTGATATTCACTGACAGTATATACTGAATATAGTATAATACTGAAAATATATAGTTCAGGTCACGTATAGATCACATATTATAGATTTTCAGTACTTGTAATGAATATCGGAACGCAGCCCCAGTGTTTCTCAACTCAGCTCAATACAGCATGATAAAAAACGAGATATACTCTCGAATATTACACAATTTAAATAAATAACAAGGATAAATGATGCATCATGCGAGAAATGGAACGCACTTATAAACCAAAGTTTAAACACGATATTATTTCTTGTACCTAGATAATCTAGTAACTTACTGAAGATACACCGTATAATTTGGTCCTATCTTAGTACAGATCTAAAAGTATAATTCAACTAGCGGGAAGTTATTAATAAACTACTTTTGTTGCTGAAGTTTGTAGCCATTTTTATTTTGTAGCAAAATTGTATTTTTTAACTGTAAAAGAAATAGTCCAATGTCTCCTAAATTTTTAAATAAATTGCAAGATATAAGTCATTGTATTCTGCTAAACATGGTATTCAATTTTAAGTTCGTTTATTTACTTTATCCCGAAGTGCATTAGTCTCATTTCGAGTGTAGAAAGTGTAGAAAGGAGAATGAAATGCTACTCCTCTCTATTCTTTGGAAGGTATAGAAGATTTCGATTCGTCCATTCGAATCGTTCAGATTTTTTTTTTAAAGTGAATTTCTTTCACAGACATGTTTGCACAAACGTATATACAAACTTATGGCTCTTTTTCTTCCGCGGCGTTTTTTTTTTTTCCTACGTGTTTACATAGATATTTCGAGATCCTACGCTAATACACGTTGTTGCAGGTCAACTGTTCTTTGTTGTATTCGAATCATTCAGTAGTATTCGAGCGGTTGGAAAACAGTTTCTTGCGCAATATCTATACTACGTATCGTAAAGAACGAGGAAGAATTTTACGACGAAAAAAACTTTATAAGAGAGAATTGATACACAACATGGCATATTTTAACGATATGAATATCGAGCCGATTGTTGATCGGTAAGAACAAAGCAACATAATTAGATGGAATCTATCTTGCTTCTTGCAAGTGATACATTGCAAAGTCGGCAGGAATTATTAAATATTTGTGGAATATATTTTTTGTATCTACATTTTTATCAATATAGATCAACTTTAATCTCGGTTTAAATTTACTCTTTTTAGAGTTAAAAAAGATAAATTAATTTGATAGTTAAAATTAATATACATTGATAGAAATGGACGTTAATACTAAATAATTTACAATGAGACTAAATTTGCATATAGTAATTGTACAAACTTATATTCTTGTACATGATTTTTTTATGCTTATGTTATTTACAGAACGGATGCAGAATATACAATATATGTGAATAATTTGCCAATAGAGTTAAATAAGGTATAATTTATTAATTTAATTAATTATGATTAAGAAGTTTTGCATTTTAATATAATTTTTCTTTTGACTTGATTCTATATATATTTGTTCTTCATGATTTATAATGTTATATATACATATTACCTATATTTAAAATAATGAGATATCTATTTAATAACATGGTTCATAACATGTATGACATTTTTAAGGATGCTATTAGAGATATCTTTAGTCAATATGGTAAAATTCTTGGAATGTTCCATCCTTGTAATGCTAATTGGGCCTATATTACATATGAATCATTTCGTGAAGCTGAATTAGCTATACGAGAGCTTAATGATAAAAGACCGTTGTATCTGAAAATAGCACTTGCAAAAAACAGAAGTTCTATGAAAGAAGAAGTGCCAGAAAAATCAAACATATCAGAAATTTCTGAAAAACCAAAAATAGTAAACGTTGAAGAGTCACCATCTGTTCAAAATGATATAAAATAGTAAGCAAAATATATTAATAATTAAATTATAACAGTAATTAATAATCAAATGAACATTTAAACATGTTTGATATATTTTGATTTTTTTTAATATAAATGAATTATAAGGCGTGTTACATTGATTATTTGAAAAAATATCCAATTTAGGACATTAGAAATTTTAAAGAATAGAAAATGCTTTTAACATTGAATATAAATTAAGATTTTATATATAACAAAGCACGAAGATAGATAGATAGATAAATAGATAGATAGATATATATATATATATATATATATAGTTTCTCAATGTGATTCTATTGTTTGTAATATGTGTAATAATGTAATATATATTTAATTATAGTCAAGGTATGGGTCGGGGTCAATTATTAAATAGTACCCGTAAACCTGCAATTCCACATAGATATGCAGATGGCGAATCATCATCTTTGCCTTCGTCCTCGCAAATATTTCAGGAGATTGAGGATCCTTTTGCAAAAACTAATAGATTGTGGACAAGGTTAAAAAAATACATCACAATAACTGTTTAAATTTTTTGCATTTTTTTGCATTTTATATAGTTTTTTATTTTAGAGGTGTGATAAATGTTACACCAGATGGAAAAAGACACGTTTCTCTTGGACGCGGTTATACGTTGTATGAATTTCCAGAACCAGATCCTAAAATTGAAGAATATATTACAACAGTACACGAACAACGAAAAAATGTATGTTACAATCACGCAAATGCAAATATGCATATATAATATAAAAATTTATCATATATGTTAAAATTATTTTATTTACTATACAATTAATCCATTTCATTAATATAATTAATAATACAATTAACATGTTACAAAAGTGATTACGTTTTAGAGAAATAATTAATTATCTTTTTTTTTCTATTTAGGGATTATATGAATGTTCCAAAGATAAATTTAAGAATGAAGTGTACAAATGTATCGTCTGTTCTATAAAGACAAATAAATTTTGTGAGAAGTGTTATACGCATTATTGTAGCAAAGCATGTCAAGTAAAAGATTGGTCGCGACATCAGGCCGAGTGTAATCGTATTCCGTAATTATATTCATAATTTATAATCTATGTTTTATACTTAAGCAACTAAGTAAAAGAATATATGTTTTTAATGTTAATTACTCTAAACAGAATATTACAGATACTTTTATTATTTAGTAGATATTAATAAAGTAAATGTTACATATTAAAAACATATTTGTTTTATTTACTCCAATCCGCTTTTAATAATTACAAAACTTGTATTTATAAATTTTTTTCACAGGGCATTAGTGGAAGAAATAGATACTAATATGTCATTGTTGCAAATTAATCAAGGTATGAACCAAATGAAAAGGACATCATATATGAATGATGAAATAATTAAATCTAATGATGTGAAACTGAGGCGGCCTAACACATTTAATGGAATACAAGCAGAGAACTCGAACAATACAAATAGAAATGACAGTATGCACAGAAGTAATGCAGAGGGTAGTTCTGTGAATGGTATCGAAGATAAGTATTTATCTGCTCAACGTGATAATAATGTATCTCAAACTAAAATGACAGACTTATCGACAAATGTAGACAAAGAACTTTCTCAATATCGATTGCACAGATATGATACTAACGAGAATACTGATCAATCAAGAAAAAGCGACACATATTCCGCAACCTCTAGTTCTAATCAAAATTATGATCGCCAAGACGATTTAAATAAAACTAGTATGAAAAAAAGACTTGATTACGATGTCAATGTAAGAAAAAAAACTTGCAACGATGATAAAAGTCAATCTTATCAAAGAAACGGCTTTCAGAGTGATAATAGTTCTTTCAATAACAACAAAGGAAAAATCAATAGGCAAAAAGTTTCTAACGATATATCGGTGAACGATGATTTGGATTTTTATAAAGATACTCATTTGTCGAAAACAAAATTTATAACCGTTGAAATTATAATAACATTAAATAGTGATGAATATTGGATATACAAATTGGAGGATAGAGAGGCACGTAAAGATTTAATGATAGAATTGCAAAATGTCGCAGTGAGATCACGTAACGTGCAACCAATTATCGGTGAAATTTACGGCGTACTGTATGAAGGTCTTTGGCACAGAGCCATGGTAATATCTTTACGCCCTACTAAAGTTCATTTTATTGATTTTGGCAACGATGAGATACTAGACGAAGCTGCTGAAATTAAAGATATAGGAAATCTGATTAAAGCTCCCAAATTTGCTAGGAAAATTCGCTTAGCAAATGGTACAAGTTATAAGTATAGAAATCTAAAAGAAGACGAGCAAATTTCTGTTAGAATGTTGTCCATCGATGCTGAAAAAACAATAACAGTAGAAGTGCAAGAGCAATCGACAACTGTATCTTCACGTGCAGTGGAGAGTACTTCAAAAGATGTAGCGAAAAAAATTGTGCCGCAAGAAAAAGAAAATTCACAAGTATCATCAAATAAAAGTACAAACATTGCGATTCCGATACCTAATATTTTGGACGCTTGTGCCGACTTATTGATTCAAGAAAGAATTTTCGAATTACCAATTGAAGGCTATATAGAAATTCATGAATTGATACAAAAAGATGTTTATGGCGCAACTTTTTGTCCAATTGTTTATAATGCTATGATTGAAACTATTTTGTCTGAGATGCAAGATGAATGTAAGAAAGAGCAACTAAGAAGCGCAAATTACAAGTAAGAGTGCATTTATTATGTACAAAATGTACAGAAACAAATATTTACTAAATATTAATCATTAAGCATAAATTAAAATAAAAACATATCTTTTTAGACCAAAAATAGAAGAACTGGTTTGTGGTAAATTCAAAGATGGCTGGTACAGAGGATATGTCTTGGCATGCCCCCTAACATCGTCCAATTTACGTATCATTGCAGTAGACGAAGGTAGAGTTTTATCAGTTGATAAAATTGTAGCATGTCCTGAAAAGTTTTTGGATATTTGTGCTTTTGGAATAATGTGCGAAATAAATGATTTCACGCTATCGCAGGTACTTTTAAATTAAGATATTTTATTGCATTTTTTTCTTTATAATTCAAATTTAATTTTATATATATAATTTTTTATATATATAATATATAATTCAAATTTAATTTTCACTTTGATATGTTATAAGGGAGAAATATATGAATTTAAAGCAATCTTCAAAAAGCAGAGCCAAGAAAGTCTGCAAATTAATATAATTATAAATTCGCAAGTGAAAAATGCTATGGTGAAGCCATGTAAATATTTCACGAACTTACCAATTCGCCTATCCTCCGAACTAAAGAATGGATCTAAGGTTTGATATAATATCTCTATATATCTCTATTTTCATGGCTGTCGATTGCTTTTGTAGGCTATATTGCTTGTTTTCGTTTGATTTCTTCAATTTTCTCTAATTAGATTTTTTACTATTATTTTAGATATGTCTTACCAGTTACCGAAATCATTATCATATGTTTGCTCGTTCTCTAGACGAAGTTGAAGTAGAATATTATAATGATATTATGCAACGCGTTGCTTTATGTGCACGGACAGGTAGTAACTGATTAAATAATATGATGAGATAAATTGATAATTATGTAAAAAATTGCATTTATATTTTTTCTACTTTATCGCAGCACCGCATTTATCTAAACCTCCAAATAACTTTGATCAAGTGATCGCGCCATATGAAGACGAGAATAGATATCGTGCGATGGTTCTTGAAGTAAATAGTGATAAAGTTAAGATAATATATACTGATTTCGGCAATATAGGTGAAATTAATGTAAAAGATCTTCAACTCATGCCACAAGATTTGATACTGGTTAGTGTGACTTACCTATGTTAATCGATAAAAAAAAAAGTATATGTATATGTTGGGTCGGATTTACAGTGCTAATTTTCTAAATGATTTACTTTTCATGCTATTGCACCTGTTTTGATTTGATCTTTATGGGGTTGGTTTTTTTTTTAACAATAATGATAATTATAGCCGATATATGTTTCAAACAAGACTAGACAATAAATGGTTTCCATTGACAGACTGGGCTTCGTGTCGAATAATTTTTACTTTTCTGAATTTCAAGACAATGTTTATCGCGTGTTAATTCAACGATCTTGCAACGTCGCCTCAAAGCTAAATCTAATTTCATCCCTTCCTTATTAAATC